AATTCCCGTGAACAAAAATGCTAGAAGCATGAAATCATTCAGGCAAGCTCTGTCATCGAGAGGATAAGATTTTTTGCACCAGAAGCCCAATGGGAACTTGATAGAAAACTGGCAACAATTACAGATAAAGTACATAGTGAAATCCTCAGGGAGAGAAAAGGAAATGTAATAAGATAGATGGGTATAATTTTTACACATTTATGCTGAAACCACAAATGTGAATTGTCTTTAATTACTCCAATATATTAAGTGGTTTTATTCATTCATTGTGTCAAATCTTTCCAAAATACTTCAAACTATTTCATGAATTCTTTTTTACAAGTTTTCTTCTTATTTACTGCCACAAGCACTCACTTAAACTAGAATTGAGAACTTAAAGTATCATTGTTCCAGCTTTAAAATCCAGACTTTGCATTATCTACGGTCTAAGCAATCAGAATTAAATTAAAAACATGTAAACGATGGGCTTTTTTAACTGCAAGAAAGAGGAAGTTGGGGCATATATAGGTGCGCATGCATAAAACCAAACATATGTAAAATCTCTCAACTCCTTTCAAATAAGTTCTAACAGATAAAAATCAGTCAGTTCATGATAGTAATAAAAAATATGTTCCTGATGGTACAACACATTTATAGCACTTTTTTTCATGCTAGAATGTATGATTTATTCAGTCTTAAAAATATTTTCTCTTCACAAATTACTTTTTCCTTTGCAGGTCAAGGGGGTGAGTGCAGGGGGAGAGGGGGAGTGATCTTATCTTAACTTAGAAAATATTGATAGTGGGGAAAAAAATCCAAAAATCTATGGAAATTTAAGAAAAATATCACTTAAATGAGAAATACCAACTTTTACAAGGTTGAATATTTGCTCTTCAGCCTTCATGCTGCTTTCACAAACTAGAGAAGCCTTCTCACCCTTATTCTGCTCCACTGGGTGTATCAATTTACCACACACGAGCATGATATTAATACAGGTATTTGTTTATTCCTTTATTTCACTGTTGCATGACTAAATATTTAAGTTAACCTCAAAGAAGACTTTATTAATTGTATTTTTTACTTTAGTTCCTCTTGATTTATATGCAATAAAGTTCTCCATACACCGGCTGTGCACGCACTCCCAATTATTCAATATGGCAAACCAAACAGAGCTTAATCAGCTCACCTCATCTATTCAACAGCTGCTTATAATTAAATACTAACACCAGCATTCATTTGGAAATCTCCCCATTTCTCTCCAAGACCAGGTGAAACAAACAAGGTCTGCAGCTTGCTCTGAGGGTTAATAAAGCCGGGGTTATTTGAGAGAAGCAGTAAGAAGACCTTCCCAAACTCCAGGGTAATGGAATAATCTCCTCTTTTGTATTTATTTTATATGCTGTGGTTCAGATAAAGACTGGGGAGCATATCCACCAATTTTTACAACTATGTACAGAGATAGCTGGGGTGAGTTGTCATGAAAAAAAAAAGTATCCAAAATTAAAGCACCAGCATGCAGACTTGTATTTAAGGACTAAACAAAATCCTATTTACATTCCTTTTCCCTGAACACTTCCTCTGCCCTACGTGGATCAGTTTTCCCCTGTGATAATGACACTTTGTGCACTGAACAGTAACACACTCTTGCTAAGTAATCATCAGTGTATGCACTTGCTATACAGAAAGCTTACTTTGCCTGTATATGCTATACATCTCACACTTCAATGCTGCTGTTTTTTGAACTTCATTTTATGGAATTTTTTCCTTGGCTGCTCAATGCACTATGGTACTACCAGACCTGTATTTTTCCCCCTGTTCCTCTCAGCAGCAACAAGTGAAATAGCAAGCAAGAAATATAACACTAGCGTAAAACGCTTTATTACTCAAATTGCAAACACACCCTCAGTCTTTGCAGGGCCACCTACAGACAAGCAGTAAATAGGAAGCCGCACAACCATCCTGGACACCCTGGATCGCATGATTCAAGCAGTACAAGACAGTTGCTGACTTAAACAGGGAGTGGAGAAGGAAAGGTTCGCTACTTCTTCTCCAGGTAAAAACACCCTGATTTATTTAAGAACCTCATACCCTTTGCACAGGCTCCTCCTTGGCATTTTACATCCAAACAGCTGCCTTGATTTTTAGATCCAGTTGTTTTCCATTCACCTTCACAGTTACTCTTCCTTCTACTGATTTTTATATAGGAATAAAAAAATATTTCAAAGTCGATTACACAGGCATGATATTATATTCCAAGCTTCTTCCAGAGTACCCAGAAAATCTCCTGCAACTGCTTCTTTTGGGTTTACACATAAAAAGTTATTTTATCTTCCTGTTCTTAATGCCACGGCTAACTTGCAGCTCTTCAGCAGCTTTGTACAGCTCCAGTGCAGCCCACTGCCCAGTGTGACCAGCAGCTCCGCTAACACCAAGTTTGCAAAGTTTTCTGAATCCTTGTATACAGAGACAAGTCAACTGAGTTTATCCAAGTGCTGGGTGACAACTTATCCAACCCCATCAAGCTGGAACCACTGTCCCCTTTAGTTCTTTCGAGAAATCATGTGTGTATTTTTAGAGCATCACAGCTATTTGTAGAGTCAGCAGACTTGGCCAACCCCGGCTTTACCTCCAGCAATCTGGTAACACTGAATAGTTCTAAATGATTTTTTCCATCTTTCCTGGATAGCTTTTTTTAATATTGTTTCTTCAAACAAGTTGCGCTACTATCTTCACTTTTCTCTGTAGTCTTAGTTCCCATTTTAGAACATCATATCTAACACCATTAGGATAAACTGCTCAAATAGCACAACTTCAGTACTGCACAATCATCTCCAGTAGCATAGCTTTAAATAACCTTTTTATTCTCCTGAGGCATAAATTGAATTTGCTGTCAAGTTGCCCAGTATAGCTTTCTTAATTCCCACAAGTGACGGCAACTAATAGAAAAAGCATTTTTTTCTCTCAAATAATTTCTTATTTTTTCTCTATGTAGTTTTCAGTCATAATGAGAAAGATAGTCCTATCTCCTGTACTAAATCGCCTCTGTTTCTTCAACAAGTATTTGAAAGTGAGGGTTTTAACTCCCTCATCCTTTGTATAGAACCTGAGGTAACTTAAACAGTAATGTCTCCTAATTTAGTTTATTTGCCAAAAAAAACACCACCACCACAACAACAAAAACCCCTAACATATGCAGTACGCTATTCTTCATGTTTGCTGGGACCAAAGCTTTAATCCATCAGTCAGCTTTTCTCTCTCATTTGTCACCAGTCACAGACGCCACCTTATAGATCTAGAGAAGCAGAGCTAGAGGCTGAGCAGGCAGGTTACCCACTGCCACCCAGTACAGAGAATCAACACAACTTTCCAGAGGCACTGGGACGGAGCGGGTGAAGTGTCCGAGTAAACTTTCAACCATAAAATCTTAGTGCTTTAAATGCATCTCTGTTCATCTACAAAACAGGTACCACAGACACTTGTGTATTACACGCCAATTTTCTGCCTCTCAAAGTCCCTGCAGAGTAGTCTGGCCGGCATTTCATTTGTCGGTGCCTTAATTCTCATGGGCATCTCCTGTCACAACCTATCAAGTACTCTCTCCTATCTAATAGGACTACCCATAATAATGAGAAGTTGAAATTTATGTGATCACTGTGAGCTGTAACAAAAGCAATACCTCTATACTATAGCTTAGTATGCAAAACTCCTTTAAAATATAATTAACATTTTAAGACAAAAAATCAGATAATTAAACTGAAAAGATCCTCAAAAAGGCAGAAAATGCAGTGATCAGTAATAGTAATAAATATCAATGAGATTTAAAATCTATTCAAGTGTGACAAGAGGTGCAAAAGTTTTCCACTTTTTTAAAAAATGGACCTGAATAATTCAGAAACTGCTGAATCATAAAAACATTGCTGTAAACATATCCAACACGATGCTCTCCAAGAAACATGCGAGTACATTTACTCAAAAAATAACGTGTCAACTGCTGGAGAGCTCAGCGCTTGCAAATATTTACTCTGCCTAAGACTCAGATGTTGCATACATATGCACATAAAATTACAAAGATGGTAATAAATACACTGTTACTTTTCAGACTAACAACAACAACTCTTGCACATGGAAAAATAAGGGGGGGAAAAAAGCACACGTTACAGTTTACTTTTGCTAATTCTTCTGCTTTCCTTAAATTAAATGCTTTTGGGGTAATTTTTTCCCCCTATTTGATTTCACCCGTAACATGACAACAGGATAAAATTTTAAGAACATGAAAGCATAATTTTTAAAATGCACCATATTGACAGCAAAACCTAGATCCAAAAGTATGTCACAAACTATATTAGAGTTAATTTAAACTAGATACATTTCAATATCATCAGTGTTGCTTAAAACAGGCCAATGTTTCATTTAAAGCCCACAGAAACCATAATAATGTCAGGTAAGAGTATTTATGCCCACAAAGTCAACACCACCCTTAAACTTATCCAAGAACTCTCTGAAAATATTAACCTGTTTCTCATTTAAATCCACCACAACACCACGTTTGATGACATCAAATATGTGCTCTGTAACATTTTTAATATCACCTTCTTATTATTAACAAATTTTATGATATACAAATTTATAATTATAAATGAGGCTGCAAATTTATATAAACCATTTTTAATCTCCTCTGTCAACCTCTGTATAAGAAGCTTCACCCAGCAGATAAAGGGAAGAAAGAATAACGTTAATATTCTCAACAAGGATCCTGCCCCCTCCAAAAAATGTTTGCAAAAGATTCTGTATAAATAATTTAAAGGCAAACAAAGTCAATGAAGCATTCCTTGCTGAAGAAAACATATATCAAAATGCTTCTTTTGGCTTTTGCTTTCACAGTGAGCTAAAGTTATAATGTGTGCAGCATGGGAAAAATACTTGGGCATTTGGCACATTTTATATCAAGTCCTTCTTTTGAAAATTAGACTGGATAGGAAAGGTGTAATGTGAAACCAGCTTAACAAGAGTTTTGCACTTACCGGAATTATGGCAGTAGTCCATACACTGTGGAATTTGGATTGTAAAGGCTACCAAGTCTGGAGCTAAGAGAGATTCTGGCTTTCTACTTTCATTGAGCCATCTGCTGCTGTGTAAGTCTCTGGTGTCAGAAGGGCCTTGAATTAAAGGAATCAGCTTCTCCTTTCCACCGTCACCTAAGATAAAGATTAGACTCCTTACAGCTTTTAAATTTTCAACACTATTCCAAAGAGAACAGCTATTAACATTGTGAGTACAGAATTAAAAGAGGAAATAAAAGAGGAGCCTCATATAAAACTATTAAACGACTTCCTTAATGTTATCCTGTAAATGTCTGTACCTCCAGCAGGATTTCAAATAATGTAATCAATTCTTTTTTAGAAGGTAATTTCCATTCCAACTTTACAAAATAGTATTTTTTAAAATTCCTATGAACTCAAAAGCTCTTGACATGAGCTGCCTTTATACATGAAAGAGATCATAGACATTGATTGGCAAAGTTACTGCATGCTCTTCAAGAAAAATGATACTAAAGAAATTTAAAAACGATTTATCGCAGACCCCTCAGAAACTTCACGAGCACAATAAATACCTGTAACATTAACAGAAAATGAGGGATTAAACAATAAACAGAATACATCAAAATTATGCTACAAATAAAGCAAAAACCAAATATGCAGAGTAATTTCAGTTTAGATTCATATTTCTCTCAGAAGGAAAAAATAAATCTTTATTTTTTAATTTAGTGTAACAATTGATTATACTGGGGCCAGACTGGATCATCCTGGCACACTTAAACAATGATAATAAAAAACCCCAAAACAGTATACAAAAAACACACTCTGATTCATAGGAACAATGAGTAAATTCTTGTTTCAGTAACTCTCCTTGTAAAAAACAAGGCCAATTCTCCTATACAGGCAATAAAGTTTTACACGGTCCAGCTGCACATACCTGGGGCTTTGGCACAAATTTTTATTGATCCCACGGTCCCAGAGGCACATTTGACCAATGATGTGCCGCAGTACTTCAATTCAACATTCTGGATTGAACCCTCAAGAGTTGGCAGGGGATTCTTAGATTTCACACCTAATAAAAGAAAACTGCAAATGTACTAGTCTGTTGAATTTAAATATTTTTATATTCCTTCACCAAGGCATTTAAACTTAATTATACTTTAATTATCTACCTTAGATGTTCTTATAGCATTTTAGTTGTTATTCACAGTTTTTAAATGGAAGTGAGAGAACGCTCTATATGGCCATTTTAGTACAAACAGTTATGTATAATATATATACAGGTACTGCAAGGAAAATACACAAGGTCACTTAGGAGTTGGAATAATAAATATGTATAGATACATATACATACACTTTTGTTATCATTTTATAAGTGCCACCTCAACTATTCTCTTCCATGTTTTTATTTCAGGATCTTAAAATGACTACGTGTTTCCAGCTTACACTTAGACAACAACATTGTACTCAGTAGCAACCTGAAGCACTATATCCGCGCAGCTGAACGGCAGAGAAGGCCAGCGGCACACTTGCCATTTTTCAGCGGACACCGAAGTTCAAACCTTGCCTTAGGCTGCGACTGGAAACACATTTTGGTGGTCTCTCCTCAGCCCCCATTGGTGCACACCGGAGAACTGCCACGCCGCTTGGAAGAAATCAGTGCTGTTGGCAGCCACTTCTGAAGAGCTGCCTAGAACCGCGGTGGCAGCAGCAGGGGATCTTACAAGTCAGGACTGAGATATGTTGGCAGAGCTTGAGGGCAGCCCTCAAAACAGCCCTGGAGCAAGGGTGGAGGAAGCCAGCCCTCTGATTCTGTGCAGCACTGCTCATCAGGAAAAAAAAACCAAACAAAAAAAACCACCACACCTAAAAAACCCACACCAAACATCAATTTACTTGCAAAAAAGAAATAAATAGCTTCAATGCTCAAATGAAGTATGAAAATAAAACTAACAGAATTGATCGATTTTTTATAATTTTTTTTCTGCCTTGTGCATAAGTGACTTGGAATTTGTCAGCTGAAACTGGCAAGCAGTTTGTTAATTATGCAAACATTAGTATAATTATGGAACCCTTTCCTTGCATATGTAACATGGTATCTGTTCCATAATTATAGAAGGAAATATATTAGGGAATATAAGGTTAAAAAAAAGGGCATTTTGATTTGTATTTCAACACAGTTACACATTAAAGAAATTTAAAATATTCTCTACAGAATTAACTCTTTCTTTTTTCACAATCTCTCAAAGACAACCCAAAGAACAATCTTTAATACATATTCACTAGTAAGGAAAAATTCCGTAAAAAAAGTTACACAGAAGATTTAGGATTAAACCTGGTAACTGTACTTAGTTCACTGTACCTATTCCAGTTCCTAAACACTGAATTGTATTTGTTAGTGTATATAAAAATATTTGGTAAGCAGACTTCATTCTGGTAAGACGTTAAAATAATTTTTGAATAAAACATACTTTCCAAGGTAGGAACACAGAAGCAGCATACGAAGGGACACATGAAAACCAGACTGCCACGTGAAAGTAGGTTCCATGTTCTTTGTATGCTTCCGTATTAAAATTTAAGTGTCTTCTGTGTTCTTAACTTGTGATTCAGAAAGACTTCAGGCTCCAAAGAACGCTCACTTCAACGCATTTGTGTGCCTGCTGCTACAACACCACGTTGGTTCTCGCTCTCAGAGATCAGCTACCAGTTTTGGTCTCGTGAATAAACCCATTCCCAGGCTTGCCCGGGATAAAGCTCTTTTAAAGCTGAAAATCCCTTTTGATCTAAGGTGTCGTAACCGACACAACGCGTGAAATGCTCAAAAGCAGATAGGGTATCTGTAGGCATTTCCTAGTTTTGGCTCTGCCTCCTTATACATCCTATATACTTGTGCAAATAGAGAGCATTGCGTTTAGAGGAAAAAAAATGGAGGGGAAAAAAAGAGAGAG